TAGCACTCTGGGAGGCCGAGGCGGGCGGATCACTCAAGGTCAGAAGTTCGAAACCAGCCTGAACAAGAGCAAGACTCCGTCTCTACTAAAAATAGAAAGAAATTAATTGGCCAACTAAAAATATATAGAAAATAAAATTAGCCGGGCATGGTGGTGCATGCCTGTAGTCCCAGCTACTTGGGAGGCTGAGGCAGGAGGATTGAGCCCAGGAGTTTGAGGTTGCTGTGAGCTAGGCTGACGCCACGGCACTCTAGCCTGGCAACAGAGTGAGACTCTGTCTCAAAAACAAAAACAAACAAACAAACAAAAAACAAAACAAAAAAGTTCAAACAGAAGGGCATAATGTGAAAAGTAAATATTCTATGCATATACATACAGATATATGTAATATATATACCATACAAGAACTTGATGTTTTCACTTGACAGAACATTCTGGACGTCCTTCCTTGTCAGAAAATGTGGATAGACTCTGTTCTTTTAAACTCATGCAGAATATTTCACAGGGTGGTTTGACAATCTGTCTTTAACGAGCCTTCTCCCGAGAGACCTTTGAGCTGTTTCCAGTCTACTGCTAGTATAAATAATTCTGCGGCAGACATCCCTGTCCGTGTGTATTTGAGCCCACGTGCAAGTATTTCTGTAGAAAATGGTCCTCAAAGTAAAATTTCTGGGCCAAAAGGTATATGCAGTAAAAAATTTTTGGTAGATGTTGCCAAGTATCCTCCTGAAAAGGCTTTTGCTTTTTCACACCTGCCATATGACAGCAGCCGTGTGACAGAAGCCATCTCCTCATGTATTCACAATCAGTAGGTGTTTACTATCAAGCTTTTTCGTCTCTGCTAATGTGAGAGGTGAAGGATCCCATCTTGTAGCTATTTTAATTTGCACTTAATTTGCATGTTGAAAGAGGTTGAACATTTCTTCATGTGTTTAATGAGCATTATGCTTCTGTGTCCTTCGCCCATGTTTGCAGAAAACGATGCACATTAAATAGATGTTCAAAATATGTGACATTTTTTTGTAGAAGAGCGTCAGTCCCTGGAATTATTCCCTCTCAGGCCATGCAGTCACTTGCTGGCTGCATGGAGGGAGCTGTGGAGGGATTTGCACCTAACGGGGAGCTGGAAATTGACATTATAGACGATTTTTAAAAGTTTCCTGGCTGGGTGCGGTGGCTCATGCCTGTAATCCTAGCACTCTGGGAGGCCAAGGTGGGAGGATCACTTGAGGTCACAAGATCGAGACCAGCCTGAACAAGAGCAAGACCCCATCTCTACTAAAAATAGAAAAATTAGCCAGGCGCATGCCTGTAGTCCCACCTACTGGAGAGGCTGATGCAGGAGGATCCCTTGAGCCAGGAGTTTGAGGTTGCTGTGAGCTAGGCTGACGCCACTGCACTCTGGCCCAGGCGACAGAGCGAGACCCTGTGTCAAAAAAAAAAGTTTCCTGAATATTAATGCGTTTTTATTTTTCTACACAGCACTACAGTGATTTTGTAGGCAAAGGTTCTTTGTGAAGGAAGTTCTGGGATAAATTTTTATTTTTCTCTGATTTCTGCAGCTTGTAATTGTGCCTTTTAAGTTTCCATCTTATGTGCTTTGGCTTGTTATGAGGGTTTTTGCCCATTTTTATGACTCCTGTAGACTGTGAACTGTATCAATCAGGACTCTGTGGAGTGCAGCTTGTAAGGACTCCAGCCCACACTGACATAGGCTAAAAGGGGACTTTTATTGGCTCACATAACTGAAAACTCCAGGGGGTGTGCAGCTGTGGGAATGACTGGATTAATTACTCAAATTATGTCGGCAGGAATCTCTCTATCTCCGTTTCTGAGCCCTGCTTTCTTCTGTGCAGGCTGCATTGTTCACCAGTCTCTTCCCTCATGGTGGCAAAATGGCTGCCAGTGCCCCAGGCCTCCAGCATACCGGTTTAGGAACCCCCATGGGAAAGAGAGCACCTTTTCTGTACACACACACTTTTCTCAAAAAAGCGGGAAGAGTTTTCATTGGCTCAGCTTGGGTAACATGACCATCCCTAATCCAATCCCAGGTGGCCAAGGTGATGTCAGTGTTGTGATTGGCCAGGCTTGGGTCATGTGACCACTCAGACCTCTAGGTTTCATGAGCCATTCAGGAAGCTCAGGATGTGAGACTGTGATTTGAGGGGCTTGGAAGGAGGGGGGTGGACGTGGGACAGGCAAAACCAACAACCCTGCACTGCAGGACCCTGGAACAAAAGCCTTGACTTGGCTCTTGGGTTTTGACTTTTGGTTTGCAGTTATTTGCCATAATCTGTTACCACTTAATTTTATTATTGTTATTTTGTTTTTCTTCTCTAGCTTTCCTCCATCTGCTTAGAATCACACAAGTAATATATGAATATATTATTTTGGTAGAAGATTTTACTACCCTAGAAGTCTTCAGTAAAACATAAAGTCTCCCTTTTAATCTGCTTCCCCAAAGGGATCCACAATTATTATTTGATGTTTGCTCTTCTAGACCTCTTTCTATGCCTTGACAAGTGGATTTTTAACATTTTAAATTAATTTGTTTTTCATGCTTAATTTAAATTTTTGAATGCATAAGTTTCCATGGTTCAGACATCAAAAAATATATTAAAAATCCTATGTGAAAATTCTCTCCTTCATCCCTGTTTCCCATTCACTAAGTTCTCATCCTCCCCAATAGATACCATCTGTTATTAATTTCTTATTTACCCCAGGGAATTTTTACTGCATGTATAATCCACTACAAATATATATTCATAGGTAGGTTCTAAATTACTTTTTCCTGTTCACAGAAACTCTTGGCCATTATTCCGTACTGGTATGGATTTGTTTTAACCATTTCACTCTAGATGGGTATTAAAGTTGTTTCTAATTTTTTTCTTCCATTACAAACTCTGCTACGATGAACATCCTTGGACAAACATTTTTGTATATATGTGCCAGTATTTCTTTAGATATATTCCTAGAAGTGCAAGTTCTGGGTCAAGCATATGCACATTTTGATGCAAGAATCTGCCAAATTCAACTAAAAATATATAGAAAAAATTAGCTGGGCATGGTGGTGCATGCCTATAGTCACAGCTACTTGGGAGGCTGTGGCAGGAGGATCGCTTGAGCCCAGGAGTTTGAGGTTGCTGTGAGCTAGGCTGATGCCACGGCACTCTAGCCAGGGCAACTGAGCGAGACTCTGTCTCAAAAAAAAAGAAAAAAGAATCTACCAAATTGCCTTTCAAAAAGGGTCTACCAATTTACACCACCACAGACAGTGGCTCAGTGTGCCTGTATTTCAGCATCTTTGCCAACACTAGATGCTATTGATCTTTTACATTTTTGCCTATCTGATGAATAGAAAAGGATGTCTTGTTTTAATTTGCATTTCCCTACTGATTAGTAATACTGGGCATCTTTTCGTATGCTTATTTTTTCTGTGTGTTGCCTGTTCACAGCTGATGCCTATTTCTTTTGGGGGCAGTCTTCTTTGCTGATATCATTCATTCATGCATTGAACAAATCATAATTGAAGGCCTATTGTGTGCCAGGCATTGTTCTAGGCTCTTGGGAATACAGCAGTGAATGTAATACAGCCCCTGCCCTCATCGGGCTCACATTCTAGAATCAGGAAACCAATAAAAAAACACAACAAGGCTGGGCGTGGTGGCTCACGCTTGTAATCCTAGTACACTGGGAGGCTGAGGCGGGAGGATTGTTTGAGCTCAGAAGTTCAAGACCAGCCTGAGCAAGAGCAAGACACCGTCTTTACCATAAATAGAAAGTAATTAATTGGCCAACTAATATATATATATATATATATATAGAAAAAAATCAGCCAGGCATAGTGGCACATTCCTGTAGTTCCAGCTACTCAGGAGGCTGAGGCAGGAGGATAGCCTGAGCCCAGGAGTTTGAGGTTGCTGTGAGCTAGGCTGAGGCCATGGCACTCTAGCCCGGGCAACAGAGTGAGACTCTGTCTCAAAAAAACAAACAAAAAACAAAACAAAACAAAAAAACCACAAGTAAAGAGACAGAGTCGTCCAATGCTGGTAAGTTCTGTGAAGACAAAGGAAGCAGGAAAGGGGAATTCTTGGATTGTTAAAGAAACTAGTTCCTTGCTCTAATAGGTACCAAATATTTTTACCGTTTGTCATTTGCCTTCTAACTACATCTATGAAATTTTGGTCGATGCAGGAGTATTTTTATTTTTTATATGGTAAAATTTGCAAATCTTTCCCTTTATGGTTTTTATGCTTGGAAAGGTTTTCTCCATCCCAAGATTATAAAAGCGTTTGCCCAGGTTTTCTTCTGGTGCCTTATGGATTTACTTACTCCGTTTAAGTCTTTAATCCATCTGGAATTGTTTCCAGTGTAAAGAGCAAGGAAGGGATCCAGCTAAATTGGCTCGCCAGTTGGCCCCTGACCATTCATTAAATAATCCATCTTTTCCTTGGCGATTTGAAATGGTGTCTATAAAATACATGAATTTTCCTGTGTATTTGGGTCTGCTTTTGCACTTTCTGTCTATCCCTATGGTACATCCACCATCCAAACCACTATAGCCTTGCATTTACGTTTGACATCTGGAAAGCTTGGCCCTTTTGGTCAATTTACTTCTCTTGGCCTCAGTTTCCTCTTCTGTAAAATAAGGATACTACCAACTTTTAAAGCGTTGTTCTGAGAATTAACGGACCACTTTCGTTCTAGGGGTCAGGTAAGGCTTTTTGAGAAGGTAATATTTGAAATGAAATCGAATTGACGAGGAAGAGCATGCCCAGCAGAGGGAACAGCAACGGCAAAGGCTCTGAGGCAGGGACTAGCTTAGCGTGTCGCAGGGTCATTCAGAGGGCAGCGCTTCTGGCAGGGACAGAGCAAGCGGGGGAGAGTTGGAATGGCGGGCCGCGGTGAGAGGCTGGGGCTGTCACCATTAGGGTACTGAGGAGCCACAGCAGGATCGGGAGGGAGGGCGGGGCCCGCTGACGCTGCCGCTGTTCCCACAGTCCATGGAGTCCCAGGTGGAGGAGTGGTACCGCGAGGTGGGAGAGCTGCAGGCGCAGACGGCCGCGCTGCCGCTGGAGCCCGCGAGCAAGGAGCTGGTGGGCGAGCGGCAGAGCGCGGTGGGCGAGCGCCTGGTGCGCCTGCTCGAGCCGCTGCAGGAGCGCCGCCGCCTGCTGCTCGCCTCCAAGGAGCTGCACCAGGTGGCGCACGACATAGACGACGAGCTGGTGAGGGCGGGCGCGGGCACCTGGGGCCGCGCCAGCGTAATGCGAGGGGGTGGGGCGGGGTGGGGCGGCTTGGGGGGGGTGACACCATGGCGGGTCCCAGGGTGCAGAGGGCTGAGAGACTCTCCCACTGGTACAGCTGATGGCCTGTCATTCAGTCCTTCAAGCTTACTTAGTCATTCACTCTTCCACATTCATTTACTCACGGTCAGTCACTCAATGATTTATTCATGAGGTCATTTACCTATTCACTTATTCATCCTTTCTTCCTCCACTTATTTACTGATTACTCATTTATTCTCGACATTCATTTCCTCATTCAATCACTCACTTCCACCAAACAAGGTGGCTCACATCTCTAATCCTAGCACTCTGGGAGGCCGTGGCAGGAGGATCGCTCAAGGGCAGGAGGTCAAAACCAGCCTGAGCAAGAGCGAGACCCTGTCTCTACTAAAAATAGAAAGAAATTAATTGACCAACTAAAATATATATATACACACAAAAAAAATTAGCCAGGCATGGTGGCGCATGCCTGTAGTCCAGCTACTCGGGAGGCTGAGGCAGGAGGATCGCTTGAGCCCAGGAGATTGAGGTTGCTGTGAGCTAGACTGACGCCACGACACTTACGTCTAGCCTGGGCAACAAAGCGAGACTCTGTCTCAAAAAACCCCAAAAAATTAGCCGGGCATGGTGTGCATGCCTGTAGTCCCAGCTACTCCGGCGAGGCTGAGGCAGGAGGATTGCTTGAGCCCAGGAGTTTGAGGTTGCTGTGACTAGAGCTGACGCCACGGCACTCGCTCTAGCCTGGGCAACAAAGTGAGACTCTGTCTCAAAAAAAAAAAAAAATCACTTCCTGGTTTGCTCATTCATTCATTCACTCACTTCCTGGTTTGCTCATTCATTCATTCATTTCCTGGTTTGCTCATTCATTCATTCACTCACTCTCTAATTTGCTCACTCACTCGATCATTCTGGGCCCAGCCCTGTGCTTGGGTCAGGATGACAGGAGTGACCAAGGCAGACGCCATTGCTGCCCTTAGAGGCCTCAAAGTCCAAGGAGGAAAACAGACTTGTCCCCAGACAGTGACAACCCAGGGTGGTTAAGAATACGATGGGGGAGTTGTGGGAACCCAGAGAAGACAGTTGGCCAAGGTTCAAGGTCAGGGAGAGCTTCCGGTAGGAGCGGATATCTGAGCTGAGACCTGAGGCAGAGCAGGGCTGAGCACCAAGAGCAAGACAGCTCTAGGCTGAAGATGTGACCAGGCTCTTCAGCAAGGAGGGGCCTCGGATGCTGTGCGAAGGGCTTAAGGCTCGGTTGGGATGCAGGGGCCCTTGGGCGCATTCTCTCCCCGCCTGCTCCCTGTGTCCCTCCAGGTGTGGGTTCAGGAACGGCTGCCACTGGCCATGCAGACGGAGCGAGGCAGCGGTTTGCAGGCTGTCCAGCAGCACATCAAAAAGAACCAGGTGAGCAGAGCCAGAGGAGGGGTGAGTTGGGACACTTTGGGATACTAGTGATAGAAAACAGCTCAAGGTGGTTAAAGGCAAAAAAAAAAAAAAAGTTTGTTGGCTCTTGTCATTGAGAAGATCGTGGACAGCAGGTATCGGTGGATCCAGGTGCTATCAGATATTTTCATGAATCTCTCAGCTCTGTTTTTGTTTTTCCCCCTGTGTTAGCTTTGTTCTGAGGCCAACCCTCCTCTCCTGGTGATAAAAGGCATCCGGCAGATTCAGGTTTACATCCCACCAGCAAAGCCGGAGAGAATTTCTCCCTGTCAGTAATTTCAGCAGTAATCCCGGGGACAACTCCGAGTGGCTCAGCCTGAGTCACATGCCCATCCCTGAACTCACATGATGGCCAGGGGTTGGGTCCGCTCCTTAGCCTGGCCTGGGCTAAGGGCCTGTTCCTGGAACTTGCTGGTGGAGTCAGCTTTAATTACCTGAGCTGAGATGGAGGCAGAGGAGTTCCCCAAAGGAAAATCGGGGTCCCTTGGCCAGGGGAGGAGGAATAGCTGTTGGGCAAGGAACAAGTAAACTAACCAACAAACAAAAACTCAAAACACCAATGAAAGGGACAAAGACAGTAAACAAGAGGGTGCTGTCCCCTAAGCTGAGCAAGGTGGGGGAGGGGGCTTTTGAGCCCCTAAAGTCTCTGGATCTCTGTTCACCCCTCTGGGCCTCGATTTCCACATCTAAATAAGTAGAGAGTTGGTTTAGAGCAGTGGTTCTCAAACTGCGTAGCAGAGGAACCCTTTGGTCAAAGCAACTCTTTCACCAAAGCTCAAAGTAAGAAACCTAAGCAGTATAATGATAATAATGCATTGATTAAAGACTATATTGTGGCCAGGCACGGTGGCTCATTCCTGTAATCCTAGCACCCTGGGAGGCCAAGTTGGGCGGATTGCTCAAGGTCAGAAGTTTGAAACCAGCCTGCGCAAGAGTGAGACCCCATCTCTATTAAAAATAGAAAGAAATTAATTGGCCAACTAATATATATAGAAAAAATTAGCCGGGCATGGTGGCACATGCCTGTAGTCCCAGCTACTCGGGAGGCTGAGGCAGGAGGATAGCATGAGCCCAGACTTGGAGGTTGCTGTGAACTAGGCTGACGCCACGGCACTCTAGCCAGGGCAACAGAGTGAGACTCTGTCTCAAAAAAAAAAAAAAAAAAAGACTATATCGTAAGTGCTATTCTAGGGGGTTGTGTTGATTACTTAATTTTGTCCCCTCAGTAGTCCTATAAGGTAGATATTGTCCATTATCCCCATTTTACAAAAAAAAAATATATATATATAAGTTTTGGGAGGCTAGGAGACTGGAGGATGTTGGGGAGGTGGGACCGCCAATTATTTTGGGAGGTTCATCATCATGCTGCACTGCCGTGTTTCCCTGAAAATAAGCCAGGGTCTTATATTTATTTTTCCTCAAGAAGACACCCTAGGGCTTCTTTTCAGGGGATGTGTTATTTTTTTTAAGTACGGTACAACAATCTACATTTATTCAAATACAGTTAAGTCGTCTTCTTCTGGAATATCATCATAACCCTCCAAAGCCCGAATTCCATCCTGAATTTCTTGCGACTCTATTTCCTCTAGAACCATTGGCCCCAATCTCTCATGTCGAGCCATAGAGCGCTCATGGGGCAGATGAGAAGGGCTGTTCATCTTTACTGCTCCACCACGAAATGCATGGGCTGTGCAGATGTGCTGTGTGGCCACGCCCATCACTAGGACTTATTTTCTGGGTAGGGCTTCTATTGCACAAATGCTTAGAAATCCTGGTAGGGCTTATTTTATGGGTAGGTCTTATTTTTGGGAAAACACGGTAGTAGATGGAGTTCTTTAAGAGTCTGGAGTTTTTGTTTTTCTATGTGATGAAAATACTCTTGGCGTGGACAGTGTTGGGGCCAAACAGAACTGACCCTTCATTTTCAGTTGAGGAACCTGATCAAGTGCACTTCATGCTCAAAACTGGGTGAACTTGGCTGCGCGTGATCAGAGGGTTGGGTACACAGGGCTGTTAGGCAGATACTAGCAGCTCACAGTGATCGCGGGTTTGCTGTGTGTTACTCTCAGTTCTAAGTGTTCCGTGGTTTATGGCCTCCCGACAACCCCATAAGGTAGATCTTTGCAGGGTACCACTAGCCATGTGACTTCAGCAAGTTCCCCACCCTCCCTGTGCCTCAGTTTCCCCATCTGTAAAATGCGAATGATGCTGCTGTCTGGCTCATGGGGTTGGAGTGAGGAGGTGTGCGGCCACATTAAATAAAGCCCTTACCTAGCAAGGCATCTGGCAGGTCGCAGACACTCAGGAAGTGTTGGCTGTTATTATTTCCATTTGCCAGTTGGGGAAACTGAGGCACGCGAGAAGTTAAATAAGCTGCTCAGCAAGTACAGCGCTGCTTGAGGGAACTTTCTGGGGGAGATGATCGTGGTCCATATCTTGTTCTGGGGACGCCGGTGTAGGCATGTGTAAAACTGTTGAGCTGTGTTCAAATCCTGTCACTTCTTCCTAGCTGCTTGCTCTGGGGTCATCGTACCGCGCCCCCCTGTGCCTGTTTCCCCACCTGCAGGACGCGGGTGTGCGTGGGCGAATATCTGCAAAATGCTCACGTGGTGCTGGCACGTGGAGAGCAATCTGAGGGTGCTTGTTGCTAGCTGGGGGGGGGGTCATGCCAACCGCAGAGGACCACGGGGCCTTGCGGGGCCTCGGGACGTCCGTCCCCACCCTCACGCGCCACCTGCCGCCCCCAGGGCCTGCGGCGGGAGATCCAGGCGCACGGGCCTCGCCTGGAGGAGGTGCTGGAGCGCGCGGGCGCGCTGGCGTCGCTGCGCAGCCCGGAGGCGGAGGCCGTGCGCTGCGGCCTGGAGCAGCTGCAGAGCGCCTGGGCCGGCCTGCGGGAGGCGGCCGAGCGGCGGCAGCAGGCGCTGGACGCCGCCTTCCAGGTGGAGCAGTACTACTTCGACGTGGCCGAGGTGGAGGCGTGGCTGGGCGAGCAGGAGCTGCTCATGATGAGTGAGGACAAGGGCAAGGTGCGCCCGGGCTGGGGGTGAGGGGGGGCCTGGGGACGCTGGAGCCCCCCGGGGCCGCAGCTACCGCCTCATCCCGGCGCCGTGTGCCTGCAGGACGAGCAGAGCACCCTGCAGCTGCTCAAGAAACACCTGCAGCTGGAGCAGGGCGTGGAGAACTACGAGGAGAGCATCGCGCAGCTGTCGCGCCAGTGCCGGGCGCTGCTGGAGATGGGGCACCCCGACAGGTGGGCGGGCGAGGGGCGCGGCCGGTTCCCAGGGTTGGTCCCCCGGGCCCTGGCGCTTCGCTGTTGGAACTTGAGGCAGGGCCAGATTTGGACATTGGGTGGGGAGGGGTCCTCCTTGCTGTGTGCTGGAGCCTCGGACTTCGGACTTGGGCAGGCAGGCGGGTTGGAGTGGGGGTGGGGGTGGGGAGAGGAGTGGGGGTTGGGTACTGCCCAGGGGTGGTTGAGAGGGCGGGGCCAGGAGCACTGGGCCTCGAGTGTAGTGGTGGGACCTCCTCATTGGGGGAGGAAGGGAGAGGTGACGTCCAGGACTGAGTTAGAGAAGTAATCGCTCAAGATAGGCACGGGTCTCCTCCTAGCCAGTGTCAGGGCAGTGTCTGGGAGGACAGAAAAGCCTGGAGTGCTGGGATTGGGGATGGGCCAGGGCCTCAGACCTCCTGGTATAGCGGGGCTGTCCAGGCCTGGACCAGGGCTGGGGTCTGAGTGGGGACGTGGGAGAGAGACCTCTGTGCAAGTGAGCGGGACAGTGGGGCTGGTAGGGGACAGATTGGCTGGGGATGGCAATGGGGAGTCTGAGTCCCAGCCAGGTCGCTGGATGGGAGGGGTGTAGGCTGCAGAGATCAAGTCAGTGAGGCTGGGGCAGAGGGAGCTCCTCAGGCTAGGGGCGCAGAGCTATCCCTGGTGCCGAGATACAAGTACGGCTGAGCTGAGACTTGCAGAAAGCAGAGTCTGCAAGGACACGACCCTGCCTGGAGATTCCAAGGAAATACAGCCCTGCCCTGGGAGGGAGGTGACCGGGGGTGGCAGCTCTGCCCCAGAAGTCTCAGGGGGCTCCATCCCTGCCCCTCGCTGTCCCCCACCAGCGAGCAGATCAGCCGGCGGCAGTCTCAGGTGGACCGCCTGTACGTGGCGCTCAAGGAGCTGGGCGAGGAGCGCAGGGTGGGCCTGGAGCAGCAGTACTGGCTGTACCAGCTCAGCCGCCAGGTGGACGAGCTCGAGCACTGGATTGCCGAGAAGGAGGTGGTGGCTGGCTCCCCCGAGCTCGGCCAGGACTTCGAGCATGTCTCGGTGAGCATCGTTAGTAGTAACAGTGACTCTGGGGCCATGGTGTGTGCCGCTAAGGTTCTCCGGGCCTCAGTTTCCCCATCCATAGTAGAAGGATAATAATAGCACCCCCCTCGTGGCTCTGCTATGAGACGGATGAGTTAATGTGATGGAAAGCACTTAGGACCATAATTTTCAGACATAGTGCCTAATACAGCATTAGTTATTATCATCTTATTTTATTATTGTTACTATTATTGCTATAATAATAGTGTTCAGGCCAGGCATGGTGGCTCACGCTTGTAATCCTAGTGCTCTGGAAGGCTGAGGCAGGTGGATTGTTTGAGTTCAGGAGTTCGAGACCAGCCTGAGCAAGAGCAATACCCCATCTCTACTATCAACAGAAAGAAATTACTTGGACAGCTAAAAATATATAGAAAAAAACTTAGCCGGGCATGGTGGCGCATGCCTGTAGTCCCAGTTACTCGGGAGGCTGAGGCAGGAGGATCACTTAAGCCCAGGAGTTTGAGGTTGCTGTGAGCTAGGCTGACGCCACGGCACTCACTCTAGCTTGGGCAACAAAGTGAGACTCTGTCTCAAAAAAAAAAAAATAGTGTTCAATAAGTGTTAGATATTATTTTGATGATGATGATAACGATGATCGTCATGATTCATGCTTGCCACACAGCGGGAGGTCGGAGGGGGCTGGTGCAGGCAGCCCCTTTGCCCACTTTGCCGTCCCCACTTCCCGGTGGCAGGTGCTGCAGGAGAAATTCTCAGAGTTTGCCAACGAGACGGGCACGGCAGGGCGGGAGCGGCTGGCAGCCGTGAACCAGATGGTGGACGAGCTGATCGAGTGTGGCCATACGGCGGCGGCCACCATGGCCGAGTGGAAGGACGGCCTGAACGAGGCCTGGGCCGAGCTGCTGGAGCTCATGGGCACGCGGGCCCAGCTGCTGGCCGCCTCTCGTGAGCTGCACAAGTTCTTCAGCGACGCCCGAGAGCTTCAGGGACAGATCGAGGAGAAGCGGAGGCGGCTGCCCCGCCTGACGGCCCCGCCGGAGCCGAGACCCAGCGCCAGCTCCATGCAGAGGACCCTGCGAGCCTTCGAGCATGACCTGCAGCTCCTCGTGTCCCAGGTGGGGCGCCGGCGGCTGGCGGGGCAGGCGGGAGGGCCTGGGTAACAGCAGAGCACGCAGAAATCAGGCTGCGGAGCAGGTCACAGTTAGACAGAGGAGCAGGCAGAAAGCAGACCACAGAACAGGAGAAAATTAGGTAACAGGGCAGAGAGAAAATGAGCTGGTCGCAAGGTGTGCAGAAATCAGGTAGGGGCAGGAAAGGGCGGTGCCGTAGGTCTTGTAGAAATTAGACAGTGTTTCCAGTAGAGATTGGGCAGCAGTTCTCTGGAAACTGCGAGGTGAATTTTACCTAAATGCAGATGGAGGGTCTAAAGGGAATTGCAAGAGGGCTAAGAGAAATCTGACTGTGATGCAGAGATGGCAGGTCTCTGATAGAGATCGTGTGATTTTTCCAAGAGAAATTTGATGGAGGTGGATTTAATGGAGAAGGCAACAGAGCTAATAGAAATCAGGCGGAGGGGCTGACAGAGATTGGGGGTGGATCTGAGCAATCAGATGGAAATAAAGCTGTGGGCCCAATAGGACTCAGGTGGCAGGACTAAGGAAACTAGGTTGCAGGTCCAATGGAAGACAGGAATTGGACACTTATTTTTATATATTGGACAGATGACTGTTAGAAATCAGGCTGTGGAATTGATAGCAATCAAGTGGTGGATCTGACAGCAATGGGGGGGTCAGGTCATTGAACCAAAAGAAATCAGGTCATTGAACCAATAGAAATTGGACAGAAGACTGATGGCAATTGAAAAGGGAAACTGGGCTACTAGGAGGTAGAGGGTCTGAAATAAATTGAGTGGAAAAGATTATCTAGCATGTCTAATAGAGATCAGGGTGGAAAGGGGCTTCCTGAAAGGAACAAGGTAGAGGCGGGCCTGCCTGGAAAAGGTGACAGTCCCACTGGAAATGGAACTCTTAGACCAAAGAAATCAGGAAGTGGACTGAAAAAAAGCTAGTAGTAGATCTAAAAGAAGTCAGAGGCCAGGTGTGGTGGCTCAGGCTATAATCCTAGCACTTTGGGAGGCTGAAGCAGGAGGATTGCTTGAGGCCAGGAGTTTGGGACCAGCCTGGGCAATAGTGAGACCCCATCTCTACCAAAAAAAAAATAAAATAAAAAATTAGCTGGGCATGGTGGCATGCGCCTATAGTCAGTCCCAGCTACTCGGGAGGCTGAGACAGAAGGATCGCTTGAGCCCAGGAGTTTGAGGTTGCTGTGAGCAGTGGTGGTGCCACTGTACTCTAGCCCAGGCAGCAGAGCAAGCCTCTTTCTCGAATGAGTGAATGAATGAGTGAATGAGTGAGTGAAGTCAGAATGCAGGTAAGTTAAAAAAGAATCAGGCAGCAGACATGAGAGAAATGTGGTCGTGGGTCTAAAAGAAGTCAGAAGGCAGGCAAGTCAAAGAGAAGGCAGGCAGCGGACCTAAAAGAAGCCCAGTTGTGGGATCGCTGGGCGCAGGCTCCTCACACTTTGGGGGGTCTGCACTCAAGCGGATGGGGGAAAGGGCGGGCAGAGCCTGGGCCCCGAGGAGGGCTGGTGCCCGACCCAGCGTGCCCTCCCCCAGGTGCGGCAGCTGCAGGAAGGGGCAGCCCAGCTGCGGACGGTGTACGCGGGCGAGCACGCCGAGGCCATCGCCAGCCGGGAGCAGGAGGTGCTGCAGGGCTGGAAGGAGCTGCTGGCAGCCTGCGAGGACGCCCGCCTGCACGTGAGCTCCACGGCCGATGCCCTGCGCTTCCACAGCCAAGCCCGAGACCTGCTCTCCTGGATGGATGGTATCGCCGGCCAGATCGGGGCAGCTGACAAGCCCAGGTGCCCCTCATCCCTCCTCGGGCTTCCTACCTGTCTCTGGCAGCCCCCCTCGGCCACCCCCAGCCCATCGACAGTCCCCTTCCCATAAGAAATCACGACAGTCAGTGCCTGCGTGGCACCTGTATGTGCCAGGCGCTGTTCTAGACCTTTCCTGTGTATCAGTCAGGACTCCTTGCCAGCCCTGGCTCCCAGTCACCATGGCAAGACTGGGGACTCAGGGCATGGGGCATCCTCCTGCCCTCTGTCCTTCCCAGTTGCCCACTACTGCCCTCTCCAAGGGGACGTCACAGCATGGGACGGGCTGAAGCCAGCACGGGCAGAGGAGGTGCGGGACTGTATTTGTCAGGGTGGGGAACAACGGTAACAAACGGTCCCAGCATCTCAGTGGCTCCACCCACTAGGCACCGACTTATTGCACAAGTCTCTCCCACGGTGATTGGGAGCCAGGGTCCCTCGGTCCCTCAGTCCTGGGGGTCGTTTGCTGGACCCTCTGCATCCCATCACAGGTGGGAAGAGACAGCAGGAGGCTCAGGTGGGAGGCTCGAGGGACTAAGCCTGTAGTCACACGCTGCCGGCCGAGTGGCCCAACCTGTCTGCCAGGGAGGCTGGAAATTTAGTCCCATGGTGTGGCCAGGAGGAAAAGGACCAGGAAAGTGGTGGCCACTGGCAATGTTCCCGTGATTGTGGGGTCTTGAGCCTGCATTCGGTTACTCAGCAAATATTTATCGAATGCCTATCGTGTGCCCGATGCCCAACAAGGCCAAGCCGTTGCCCCGAGGCAGGTCACGTTGTGAGGGAGGAGACAGGCAGCAGATGAGTAAACAAACATGTCCTATTATTTCAGAAAGGAATAAGTGCTATGAAGAAAAATAAAGTGAGGTCTCTCTGGGGCTGTGACATTTGAGTAAAGATCTGCATGGGGTGATGGGTGAGTCCAGTAAAGTTTGGGGGGAAGGGTTTTTCAGGTGGAGGAATCAGCAAGTGCAAAGGCCCTGTGGTGGGTGTAATCAGGCACAACTGAGGAGGATTGAGGTGATCATTGTAGCTGGCTGGATGATGAAGGGGACACTCAAGAGTGGGAGGAAACAAGCCGGGCGTGGTGGCTCACGCCTGTAATCCTAGCTCTCTGGGAGGCTGAGGCGGGCGGATTGCTCGAGGTCAGGAGTTTGAAACCAGCCTGAGCAAGAGCGAGACCCCCGTCTCTACTATAGAAAGAAATTAATTGGCTAACTAATATATATATATATGTATATATATAAAATTAGCCGGGCATGGTGGCGCATGCCTGTAGTCCCAGCTATTGGGAGGCTGAGGCAGAAGGATTGCTTGAGCCAGGAGATTGAGGTTGCTGTGAGCTAGGCTGACGCCATGGCACTCACTCTAGCCTAGGCAACAAAGCGAGACTCTGTCTCAAAAAAAAAAAAAAAAAAAGAGTGGGAGGAAACTGAGAACAGATGGGCAGTAGCTGCCTGGAAGCCATGCGTGGTGAGGAGTGTGTCTTCTCTCTGAGGAAGATGGGAGTCATGGGAGAGTTTAGAGCAGGGGAGGGATGTGATGTGATGTACATTGGAGAAAACTCACCCAGCTGCTTGTAGGGAATACACTGTGGAAAACAAACGTGGATGTAGGTAGACCAGCCAGCAGTGATGCAGGTGAGAGACCATGGTGGTCTGGGCCATCGTGGGGGTTGTAGAGATGGAGGGAAAACAAGGTTTTGGTTTTAGGAATTTTAAAGTCTTTTTATTATGAAAAAATTCAAATATACACAGAAGCAGAGGTAACAGCGCAGTGAACCCACATGTGTATCGTGAACACCTGGCTTTAAACAATTTAAATTTAAACAATTGTTTAAATTGTCAACATTTCGCTAATTTCATTTCAACTGTAAACTCCCCACAGCTCTGCTGAGTTATTTTAAAAGAAATCTCAGGCTTCATATCACTTCACAGGGTATGGAATTAATAACATTTTAAAGTTACAAATGTTCAGTGACTGATGGATTGGCTTCAGGGGATAGAGGAAAGAGAAGAGTCGTGGATGAATGATGAGTGAATTTACTGAAATGGAGAGAAGAGGGCACATTTGGGGAACAGGGGAGAATCAGGAAGATCATTCTAGACATAATGCATCACAATGTGCAACCTTTAGCTATAAGTTTGGACACATTGTCTTATAAAGTATGTTAGTCTGTTTTCTGTTATTATAACAGGATACTGCAGACTGGGCAATTTACAAAGAAAAAAAGCTTATTTAGCTCACAGTGCTGGAGGCTGGGAAGTCCTAGAGCATGGCGCTGTTCTTCATGATACGTCACAGCATGGTGGAGGGCATCCCAGGGTGAGAGGGCGAGAGTGTGCTAGCTCTGGTCTCTCTTCCTCTCTTTATAAAGCCATTAATCCCATCCTGGGGACCCCGCCCTGATGATTTCATCTAATAGTAATTACCTCCCAAAGACCCTGCCTCCAAATCCTATCAACCTATGCATTTGGGGGTTAAGTTTGTAACACATAAAATTCGAGAGACACATTCAAACCATCCTGTAAAGCTATGACTACCAACTAGTGGAACCTTCGGAAACTTGGAATTTATTTTGGACATGTGATAGCTTAGAATGTCACTGTCCTATAGTTACAGCATGTGACATATATAATTTAAAATGTTCTTGTAACCACGTTAACAAAGTAAAAGGAAGCAAGTGAAAATTCATTTTAGTAATACATTTTTATCTAACCCAACAGACCCAAAATATTATCACTTCAACATGCAGGGAATATTAAAATTATTAATGAGACACTTCACGTTCTTTTTTTTTTTTTTTTTTTTTACACCAAATCCTCACAACGTGGCGTGCACTTTACACTTGAGCATATCTCAGTTCGGACTAGCCACACTTCCAGAGCTCAATTGCTACTGCATGGGACAGCCCAGCCTCGGACAGTTAGAATCATTGGCTAGTGGAACCTTCCGAATTATAGAAAATTAGAAAATTTAGATCTTGAAATCCTAGAAGGTTAGAAAGGTTAGAAATCCTAGAATCACAAAAGTGTGAAGTGTTGCAACCTTGGAAAGTTGGAAGCATTGAATTAGTGAAGAACCTGGGACCCTCAGGACATGGTCAGAGAAGGTAGGTGTCTGCAGAGGGTGCGGGACGTCAGTGTCAGGGGTTTGGGTTCTCTAGGAGCCGCGTGTATGGGCGGACCCAGGGAGGCTGCCTGTGGCTGAGACGCCTGCCTGCCACCCGCTGCAGGGACGTGTCGTCGGTGGAGGTGCTCATGAACTACCACCAGGGCCTGAAGACCGAGCTGGAGGCGCGGGCGCCCGAGCTGACTGCCTGCCAGGAGCTGGGGCGCTCTCTGCTGCTCAGCAAGAGTGCCATGGCCGACGAGGTGGGGAGGGGCATGGGGGTCCCCCTCTGCCACCCGGGCACATTGTGGGTGGGAGCCACCCCTGACTCCCCTCCCACCCACCACCACTCCCAGATTCAGGTACAGCTGGACAAGCTGGGAACCAGGAAGGAGGAGGTGTCGGACAAATGGGACCGTCATTGGGAGTGGCTGCAGCAGAGTGAGTGGGGGCCCAGACACACATGGTTCAAGGCACAGGGACATGCGCCAGCAGGCCCGGCCAAGGCCCGGAGGGTGAAGCAAGCATGCTTTGCACACTGCCCATGGGCCTCCAGAAGCAAACATGAGGGCTGGGAGGGTGAACGAGGGGTCTACCTTGCCAGTGGATCCCTGGTGGCAGATGTCCAGGAGAGAAGCTGGTGCCCACAGAAACAGTCCCAGCCTCTGTCATTCCTGCAGAGCCCAGAGTGATCAGGGCTGGGATAGGGGAAGCCAGAGGGGCGTGGAAGGGCAGGGAAAACAGCCACTGCCCCAGGAAGGGTGCCCAGCTGTCCCCAAGCACCCTGACCTGTCATGCCTCCCTTCAGTGCTGGAGGTGCACCAGTTTGCCCAGGAGGCGGTGGTGGCTGACGCCTGGCTGACAGCTCAGGAGCCGCTGCTGCAGAGCCGGGAGCTGGGCAGCAGCGTGGATGAGGTGGAGCAGCTCATCCGGAGACACGAGGCCTTCCGCAAAGCGGCTGCAGCCTGGGAAGAGAGGTTCAGCTCTCTGCGGCGCCTCACCACGGTCAGCTCCCCAGACCCTGCCCCAGCCCCCCGGGCGAGACACCCGCGCCCCTCCACCGCCCAGCCCTCTATATGGGGCACACATGCCGGGACTTGGTGCTCAGTCTTGAGTGAGGGCCAAGAAAGACCTTACTAGGCTCCCAGTGGGGCAGGGGGACAGAACCGTCAGCAGGCAGTGACAGTCCAGAGTGCTCAGGGATGTGATGGGGGAAGAGAGAGATGGGGAGACACGGGACAGTTGTCCTGGCCTGAGACTTAAAGAATGAGGTGAAGAGACTGTTACAATAAAAAGTCTTAAGGTCCTGGGTGGGACATTCAGAAAGGAGGAAGTGGCGGGCCAGAGGGCACCCAGAGAAAGTGATGCTTCAGCTGATTCTCAAAGGCAATGGGTGTTTGCCTGAGAGAGCAGGAATTGAGTTCCCGGCAGAGAGCAAAGCGTGGGGACGGTCCTGGACCTCTCCCTCACCCCCACCCCCACGCCTCCAACCTGACGCTGGTCCCTCGGTCCCCAGATCGAGAAACTCAAGGCGGAACAGAGCAAGCAGCCGCCCACGCCGCTGCTGGGGCGCAAGTTCTTCGGGGACCCCACGGAACTGGCGGCCAAGGCGGCGCCCCTGCTGCGGCCAGGGGGCTACGAGCGGGGCTTGGAGCCCCTGGCCCGCCGGGCCTCGGACACGCTGTCGGCCGAGGTGCGGACCCGGGTGGGGTACGTGCGCCAGGAGCTCAAGCCCGAGCGCCTCCAGCCGCGCATTGACCGGCTGCCGGAGGTCCCGGGAAGGGTGGAGCCCACTGCCCAGCCGGCCGCTCCAGAGGACGCAGCGGAGACCCCCGGGGTCCCCGCGGTGGCGGAGCAGGTCCGGCCGCGGCCAGAGCGCCAGGAGTCAGCTGATCGCGCGGAGGAGCTGCCCCGGAGGCGGCGGCCCGAGCGGCAGGAGTCCGCCGATCAATCCGAGGAGGCTGCGCGGAGGCGGCGGCCCGAGCGGCAGGAGTCGGCGGAGCACGAGGCAGCACACAGCCTTACCTTGGGCCGCTACGAGCAGATGGAGCGGAGGCGCGAGCGGCGGGAGCGGCGGATGGAGCGGCAGGAGTCCAGCGAACAGGAGATGCCCACCAGAGAGGTGGCCAAGGGGTGAGGGAAGGGGCGGGCGCAGAGCTCCTAGAGCCGCGCAGGCTGGGGGGAGGGCGGCTTCAGCCTCAGAACTTCCTAAGGAGGGAGATACCGTCGTGGTACCCATTTTGCAGACTCTAAACTGAGGCTGAAAGAGGGCAGGACATACGCCCATTGTTCACAGAGGCAGCCCTTCCTGTTGGAGGAAAGTGGAGCGCTTCCCTCCAGGGGCAGGTCCTCAGCCACTGCGCTCTGACACGTCCATCAAGTCCCCTGGTGCCTCTGGGCTGGCATTTTGTCCTCGCTGCACCTTAGCTTCTTCACTGGGCTAGTGGAGGAACCATTACCTCCTTGGTTAACAACAACAAAAAAAGAAGACCCTTTATCACAATTTCTTTCAACAGACTGATGAAGTGGGGGCTGTAGCCATGTCCATTGTATGGATAGGGCAACTGAGGCACAAAGAGGGCAAGTCACTCAGCTTGGATGAAGCAGGACTGGAACTCAGGCCTTTCAGAATCCAGAGTTAACTAGAGTGTGTGGCACAGAATAGTCCAATCAGCTGTGCCTCCAGAAAGAGACCTTTGGCCAGGAGACAATGACCTCTTGACCCTTTCGTGAACATTTGCTGAGTGCCCCACTCTGTGCCTGAAGACAGCAGTGACTTAAACAGTCCCAGCCCTGCTTTTCTGTGGCTCACAGTCCAGTGGGGGGAAACAGACTTGTCACCAGACAGTGATGACCCGGAATGATTAGGACTGGGATGGGGGTAGTGGCAGGGGTGCTTGGGAGCTCAGGGGCGGGTGGAGAAAGGCAGCCTTGTGTTCAAAGGCTGGAGGCACCATATTGCATTTTGCTCTTTGTGCTGCTTAAAACTCAAAGGGGAGAGAGGTTCAGTTCTCCATTCAGCAGACATGTCCCAAACGCCTGGGGTATGCAAGGCCAGCATCTGAGACAGCTGCGGAAGGGAATGGAGGACTGGCACTTCAGGCTGAGGGATGGAGGCTCCTCAGTCCAGCCAGGCAGGTTCCTGGGAGAAGACATTCCAGTTCCATTGGGTCTTTCTGTTCCCCCCAGGAAGGCCACCCTGGCTGACATTGTGGAGCAGCTGCAGGAGAAAGAGGCCAGCCCAGGGCTCCCTGTTGGGGTAAGCTGAGCCTCCAGATGGGAGGGATATGGGGACCCCTCTTCTCAGAGCAGGAGTAAGGATCTGAGAAACAACCAGTGCTAGCCCTGGACCCATCCTCCTACCTGGACCCTGCAGAGACAGCATGGACTCTCAGGGGCCCCACATGACCCCCCCCCAGAGTCTGAAAATTTCTCCCTTAGAAAGATGGGGCACCAACATAAGAGACAGACACTCCAGACTCATCCAACATCCGTCCTGGGCTCCATATTTCTTCAGCCCATTGGGGTCCCAAATTTCCTCCTAGATGGCCACATACACACACAGAAGGAAGCCCCAGATTCCTCCTGCAGACAGATGGGACACCCATCTGCTAGCATCCCCACTTCCATAAATCTAGCCCCCTCTTCCCACCATCAAGAGATTCTAAACAAGTGAGTCCTGACAGACTCACTCCCAAGACCCATGGGGCCCCTAGGAGTTGGACTCTGGCCCTGAGGTCCTCCCATAATCGCCTCCAAGACAGATGGCCCTGCAGGCGGATGGGACCCCAGACCCGTGAGCTCCCCGAGACAGATGGCCCCCACACCCCATGGACAGCACCCCTCTTCCCCCTCCCTCCACACAGCCGTCGCTGCCTCAGCCTCGGGAGCTTCCCCCTGGCCGCCTGCCCAACGGGCTTGAGCCGCCCGAGCGGACGCCTCGGCCGGACCGGCCGCGGGCGCGGGACCGGCCCAAGCCGAGACGGCGGCCGCGGCCCCGAGAGGGTGGTGAGGGCGGGGGAAGCCGGCGCTCGCGCTCCGCCCCGGCCCAGGGCGGCTCGGCTCCCGCGCCTCCGCCACCGCCCACTCATACAGTGCAGCACGAGGGCTTCCTGCTGCGCAAGCGCGAGCTCGACGCTAACCGCAAGTCGTCCAACCGGTGAGCGCGTGGGCGGGGCTTTGGAAGGCGGGTCCCAAGCTCAAGTACCCAATGAGCGAATAGTTAGGCCTGAGGAGGGGGTGTGGCTCAATTCGAAGACCTCCCACTAGTGGCGGGTAGGTGGGGCCAGGGCGGGTGGTGGGACTCAACATCGAGGAATCCAGCCAATGAGAAGGAGGGGCGGAGACTAAGGTAATGAGTACCAGGGCTGAGTGGGTGGAGCATAGATGGGGGCAGGACGAAAATGTTATGAAAGTGAATAAATTGGGACCTAATCTCAAATCTCATAGCAGCCAACCTAGGAGTTGACTGGCTAGATAGCAGACTGGGGGTGGAGTCTAGTCTAGAAGGTTTCAGTGGCTTGCGGTGGATCCTGGAGAGCTCTTCCAGCCAATGAGTAGGTGGGTCTATCCTTAAAGTTTCAAATCAGGACGGTCTGAAAAAGGGCGGAGCAGTAATCTCTTGTTTCCAAATGGGGGTCTAGCTGTGATGTGTTTGCTCTTGTAGTCTAACTTCAAGGTTGTTCAACTTCTTTTTACCCAACTGGGAGGTAGACTTTGGGGACAGTTGGAGCCAAAGAAAGGGTAGCACTGGCCAAGGAGTGGAGTGGGGCCTAGACCCAAGATGTGGAGTGGGTAGGGCAGGTTCAGATTTTGCTGGGTCGGGTGGTGGTCTTTCCTCCCTGTATCTAGGCCGAAGTAGGAATAAACAAGGACAAGGACAAGTAGTATATTTTGCTCTTGGAGGGCTTCCTCCTGGATTGAGACAGGAATTCTTCATTTCAGACAGTAGACCAATAGTTCTTCCATGAGAATACTACGTGAGGTATAGAGGAGTAGGGAAGAATAAATGGAACAAAGGTTTATGGAGGAGATGGCTAAGTCTTGCCTTCAGGAAATTTAGTATGGGAGAGGACAAAGAAGGGCAACCCCAGCAGGGGCATGCCTGGGCAAAGGCTTAGTGCTCAGGGACATAGATACTCCCTCGGCTCAGCAGCAGCCATAAGAAAGAGCATCCTAGGCCTATGCCCCAATTAGGGCAAAGACCAAGAGACAGGAAGGCTCAGGCAGATTCAGGGATGAGGATGTTAATGAAGAGTACTTAGGCATAGTTCTACAGCTCTGCCTTGAGCCCCTTCTTGTCACTCCAGGTCGTGGGTGAGCCTGTACTGTGTGCTCAATAAGGGGGAGCTGGGCTTCTACAAGGACGCCAAGGGTCCGTCATCTGGGAGCACACATGGCGGGGAGCCACTGCTCAGCCTGCACAAGGCCACCAGTGAGGTGGCTAGTGACTACAAGAAAAAGAAACATGTCTTCAAGCTCCAGTGAGCCCCCAATGGGCAGGAGGGAGGGATCCAAGGCCCAGTCTCCCTCCCAGCAGGATCCTGGCTTCCCCAGAGGACAGTTGGTGGGTGGGTGGGTGGGTGGGGCCTTTTCCCAGATCCCCCAAGTCCTGTGTCCCTTCCTGCAGGACCCAGGATGGCAGCGAGTTTTTGCTCCAGGCTAAAGATGAGGTGAGATCTGGTCCTTTCCCTCCCTCCCTTATGCGGGTTCAGGAATGACCTGGCTGGCCGACTCCTGGCCCATGGTGATGGAGCCATGAGAAGGGAACCTCACAGGCCAGTTATCAGGGCCATAATGGGAAAGTCCATGAGCATTGAAAGCCCAGAAGAGGTTCCTAACCAGGGGAGTGGGAAGGGGTTAAGGGAGGCTGTCTGGAGACCATGATGACAAAGTCCAATCTCCTTCTCTTGGCCACTCAGGTGAGACTGGACAAATAAGACGAAGGAGTTAGCCTAAAAAGGGGTGATCCAGGTGGAGGAACTGCAAGTGCAGAGGACCAGAGAGGCAGAATTGCAGAGGGTTAACTGCTGGAGAACAGAGATCTAGGAGGAAGGCTCCAGAAAACTTCCAATGGGTTGGATCTGTCAGGGCATTATGGGCCATTTGGAGGAGGTTGGATTTTCATTCTAAGAGCACTGTGGGGCCATGGTAGGGTTTTGAGCCAGGGAAGGTGACAGTGATTCATAAGAAAGATCCTTTTGGTTACCATGTGCAGGGCAGATTGGAGAAGGAGAGAGTGGAGGTGGGGAGCTGAGGAGGTGGCCAGGATAAGGGCCCAAGTGAGAGAACACATGGCTGGACCTGGCAGGTCTGTGGGGAGAGGAGGAAGAGGAAGGTGACAGAGACAGCCTCAGGGCTGGGACAAAGGGGTGAGGTCAGGGGAGGAGCAAGCATGGAGGTGGTTTGAAGAGATGTTGAGAGTAATAACAATTATCTCATTCAATCCTCACAAGAGGTTATGAAGTAGGCCTTCATTCACTTCATGCCTCCTTTTACATATCTATAAAATAGAGATAAAAAATAGTTTCTTTTTTTTTTGTTGTTGTTGTTGAGACAGAGTCTCACTTTGTTGTCCAGGCTAGAGTGAGTGCCGTGGCGTCAGCCTAGCTCACAGCAACCTCAAACTCCTGGACTCAAGCAATCCTCCTGCCTCAGCCTCCCAAGTAGCTGGGACTGCAGGCATGCTCCACCATGCCTGGCTAATTTTTTCTATATATATCAGTCGGCCAATTAATTTCTTCCTATTTATAGTAGAGATGGAGTCTCGCTCTTGCTCAGGCTGGTTTCAAACTCCTGACCTCGAGCAATCCACCCACCTTGGCCTCCCAGAGTGCTAGCATTATAGGCGTCCACCGCCCCCCTCCTCCCCACCCCCCACCCCCACCCCCCGCCAAAAAATAGTTTCTTATCATAAGGTTATTGTGAGAATTAAGTAAGTCGATGCATGTAGAGTACTTAGCACAGGGCCTAGTAAATGTCAGTGCTCTAGAAATGCCACTATATTATTGATGTTTTGTTGTTTATCTCTGCAGTGGGAATTATATCTAACCCTATTGCATAGGTTTTAGTGAATTAATCCACAACAGTGCTTAGACCAGAGCCTGGCACATAGTAAGTGCTACATAACTGCATCATCATCATCACCCCTGTTTAATAAATGAGGAGCCACGTTCAGAGAGGGTAGTCTGATTTGAGGTTCATGTGTTACTGGAGCTCCTCTTTCCAAGTACAGACTCCGTGCCCTGTTTCTTCCTCCAGGAGGAGATGAATGGCTGGCTGGAGGCTGTGGCCACATCAGTGGCGGAACACGCTGAGATCGCCCGCTGGGGCCAGACACTACCCACCACTTCGTCCACAGACGAGGGCAACCCCAAGAGGGAGGTCGGGGAGCGCAGGGCCAGCGGGCGCCGGAAGTGACTCCTCACCCCCAGGGCCTGACAAATCTCCCTGCCTCTGTTTCTCCGCACTGTGGGCACAAAGACACTTTCTCTTCTGCGGGGGCCGGGCCGGAGCCCCTAGTTCCAACACTGCGGACGCGCCATGACGGGCACTGGAAAGGAGGGGACTTCTCCCACACCCTAAGAAGTGGTGGGGAGATTGCTGCCCCTATAGCCATATCTCGGCCCCTTCCCGCTCTCCACCCCCCCACCCCAGGTGCTGGGGCTCCATTATTTTTATGCAATAATTGAGCTTGGTGGGGGCGGGCAGGGGGCCAGTTGAGCCAAGCCCCCTGCCCCAAACCACAGATCCTGCCCCAAGAAGCTGGGGTGGTGGGGGCGATCATTCCTGTCCCCCTCTCCGCCCTAGGGATGGGCACGGGGGCGCTGGTGAGGTCCCCTGGACCATCCAGGGTGCTAGGGGGTAGGGAGGGGACAGCCCCTCCCCGCCTTTACCTCACTTCCAATGCTGCCTTGATCTCTGTCTGGGAGGGAGGAGCGAAGGGGCCCTCGCCCCTGCACTCCTCCGCCTCAGAGCCATGCGGTTAATTCCTGACTTAGTTTATTTTTGCAAAACGTCGACCTCCTCCTCACCTGCCCCGCATCTGCGAAGGCTTTTAATGGGAGGGGCGTCAAAGCTCAAAGTCTTCCTCTCTCCTCCCCCCTCCAGCTGTACATGCCACTTCACGAGGGGAGGGGTGAGGGGAAGCCCTCCCCCCTGCATGCTTCTGGCTGGAGCACCTCCCTGGGGCGTGGGGGGACCGGGCTGTGGGCAGCCCCATGGCCGCCTGGAGGAGCCGCTGGGGCCTGGGGGTGTGGGATGGTGTGGCGGGCGCACACTGTATGTACCTATAATAAACCCTTTGGCTTTGACGGTCTATTCCGGTTTGTTTTCGTTACATGGGCTGCGCCTGGGAGGAATGACGGGAGGGCTGCGGTGTGGGAAACCGGGAAATGGAGGCTGCGGAGAACATCTAGATGTACCCCTTGATGTGGACTAACTTTGAGGTTAAACACGAGGCCCCTGGAGGAGGCGCCTAGATGCCATACCTAAAATGGGAACCCTAGAGATGGAGAGTATTTTGTTATCCTTTGTAAACTTCCTCAAAGAGGCCGCCAGGTCCGCTCCGTCCAGGACAGGAAAGGCGGACCCCCTTTAAGGAGGCGGAGAACTTAACTGCGACGGGCAAGCGCTCCGTCCAATCGACAGCGGCTTTGGGAGTCTCTGGCCCAATGGGCAAGCGGTTGGGGCGGGGTCACGGTGCAAACCCGGAAGCGGGTGTAGGCCGGCCGGCTCGTCCGGGGGCCATGGCCGCGGTGGCGACTGCTGCCGAGGGGGTCCCGAGTCGGGGGCCTCCCGGGGAAGTGATCCATTTGAACGTGGGAGGCAAGAGGTTAGTGTGGGAGGTTCCCGAGGCCTCACCTCGGGGGCGGGAAGGGGGTGGGAGTACCCGCCTCTCCTGGGGGGAATCCCTGTCCATCAAGGGTTGCTCCGCCCCCCTGCTGGCGGCGCCAGAACCTGGAAAAACGCCGCGGGAGCGGGGGGAACTCAAAGGAGGGGGCCGCATTCCTCACTAGCTCCGCAGCATCTCTTGCATCTGCTTACCTTCCCCGCCCAGATTCAGTACCTCTCGCCAGACTCTCACCTGGATCCCAGACTCCTTCTTCTCCAGGTGATTGGGAGAGCGAGTTTGGGGCGAGGGTTGGGGGGTGGAAGGAGAGAGTGTGGGGAGACCGCCCCTGCCCATGACACCTGGTCTCTGTCCCCTTCCTGCAGTCTTCTGAGCGGACGGATCTCGACTCTGAAAGATGAGACCGGAGCAGTGAGTTGGGCAAGAGCTGAAATGGGGCGGCCGGTGGGAGGAGGGAAGTGACCCCCACTCAGTCCCGCTCTTTGCCCCGTCCATCCTCTGCCCCGCTTTCCCGCAGATCTTCATCGACAGGGACCCCACCGTCTTCGCCCCCATCCTCAACTTCCTGCGCACCAAAGAGTTGGACCCCAGGTTGGCATGGATGAAGGGGAGGGAGTCTCCCACTCTTTCCACCCCCTGAGAAGTCTTTTCTCCAGCTCAGAATGTCTCAGTTAAGCTCCAACCTGCTAAAGTTCTCATTTAGAACCTTGATCATGTTAAAATTATATGTCCTCAAAAGTCCTCACACACACACACACACACACACACACACTTTCACCACCCATATCATTACTTTTTAGAATTTTGATCCCCTCAAAATTTACTACTCTTTGACATTCTCTGTGCAGTTTTGAAAATTTCCTCCTCAGAATTCTCTGCTCTCCCCCACACCCCATACCCTGACCCCTAATCAATTCTTCTACCCAGGGGTGTCCATGGTTCCAGCCTCCTCCATGAAGCCCAGTTCTATGGACTCACTCCTCTGGGTAAGTGGGGACACCAACTAGCATCCTTATTGAATAGAAAACCCATCTCTAGACTCGCTACCTGTCTCTTCCCCCTTTCTCCTGAGAGAGAGTGGGGTTAGAGCTGAGAGCACTGGATTTAGCCCTGGGTCTGAGGAGGAAGTGGTGATATTCTGTGGAGAAAGAGATGGGGAGGCGAAAGGGGTCTGCCTCAGTATCCTCTAAGCCCCAGCTTTTGAGTCCTCCCATTGCAGTTCGTCGCCTGCAGCTGCGGGAGGAGTTGGACCGATCTTCCTGTGGAAACGTCCTCTTCAATGGTTACCTGCCCCCACCAGGTGGGCACTCCCAATGGATAGAGGGGAGAGGAGGTGGGCTAAAGACTACATTTCCCATAAGGCATATTCCCGTGGTGTGCCTGTACCACGAGCCTTGAGACTTGGGAGTTGTAGTTCTCTATCAAATGCCAGGATTGATACTGGGAAAGGAAGTAGGAAACAGCATTTCCCATGAGGCAGTGGGCCAGCTAGTTCCCCCTGAGGCTCAGAAGCCCGCCTAGAGTCTGATGGGAGTTGTAGTTCCCATTTGATTTTCTTGTAGGAGGCTTTGGAAGACCTGGCTTTCTTTGCATGGAGGGGGAAAATATTAAAGGGAAGTGCCTGACTATATGCCCTGTGACAGCCACGATTACATTTATTGTTACTTTGCCCTTTATCCCCATTGTAGTGTTCCCAGTGAAGCGGCGGAACCGGCACAGCCTGGTGGGGCCCCAGCAGGTAGGGGGACGCCCGGCCCCTGTTCGACGGAGCAACACAATGCCCCCCAACCTGGGCAATGCAGGGCTGCTGGGTCGAATGCTGGATGAGAGGGTCCCTCCCTCCCCCTCAGGTACATTTCTGTCTTCTGGGAGAATGGGGCAGCTACTATGGCCCCTGGGACCCTGCCCTGATCCCTACTCTTCCCCTACAAGGGCAACCAGAGGAGCCGGGGATGGTGCGGCTGGTGTGTGGACACCACAACTGGATCGCTGTGGCCTATACCCAGTTTCTTGTCTGCTACAGGTGCTTGAGGAGGGGGTGGCAGGAGGTTCTGAGCCCTGTTCGTGGCAAGGGCTTGCAGTGAGGGGTGCTGATGTCCACCCAATCCCATAGGCTGAAGGAGGCCTCTGGCTGGCAGCTGGTGTTTTCCAGCCCCCGCCTGGACTGGCCCATCGAGCGGCTGGCGCTCACAGCCCGGGTGCCCGGCGGGGCTTTGGGTGAGCACGACAAGATGGTGGCAGCGGCCACAGGCAGCGAGATCCTGCTGTGGGCTCTGCAGGCAGAAGGTGGTGGCTCCGAGATAGGTATGGCTCCAGGCCTTTTCAAGAACCCTCTGTCCTTGAAATTCTGCGGCCTGTTAAAATAACCCACCCCATAAAATTCTCCAACTTGTACACGTTCTCTGCCCCATTAGATCTCTGTGCCTTGTTAGAATGCACCAACCCTTCAAAATACCACGTCCTGTTAGAATTCCTTGGCCTGTTAGAAAAATCCACCCACCTAAAATTTTCTCCTCCATCAGAATTCTCTTTGTTAGAATGTTCCATGCCAGTAGAATACCTGACCCTGTTAGAATCCGTGTTGCCATTAGAAATTTCTGACTTCTTAGACTAATCTGTCCCCAAACAAATCTCAGTCCTCATAAGAACCCTCTGCCACCATTAGGGTTCTTTTTTGCCTTGTTTCAAATCTCAGCCATATTAGAATTCATACCCCTGTAAGTCCCACACTCTGTCAGAAATCTGGCCCATTCAAATCCTCTGTGATTCCTGTTGGAATCCTCTGTCCCTTGAGGATTCCGCAGCCTAGCTGAATCCTCTGGGCCTTGGAGTTCTTCCTGCCACCACTCTCCTCCCCCATGAGGCAGGGTCCTGGCTGAGCCCTCCTTGCCCACTGCAGGGGTCTTCCATCTGGGGGTGCCCGTGGAGGCCTTGTTCTTCGTCGGGAACCAGCTCATTGCTACCAGCCACACGGGGCGCATCGGGGTGTGGAATGCCGTCACCAAGCACTGGCAGGTCAGGGTTCTAGCCAGCCTGGCTGTCCCTGTCCCAGGTTTTCAGAGTGTCCAGACCTAGGGAGGCTGGGGTGAAGTGGAGGCTGGGGAGAAGCGGGTGGGCTCCACAGGGGGCAGGGGCAGGGTGTGGAAGCAAAGGCAGGGGGTCTCCCCAGCTAAAACCTGCCCTGCCCCCAGGTCCAGGAGGTGCAGCCCATCACTAGCTACGACGCGGCAGGCTCCTTCCTCCTCCTGGGCTGCAACAACGGCTCCATCTACTACGTGGGTGAGCAGCAGGATGCCCTGGAGCCTCCCCCGGGAAATGGGAGGGACACAGGCCGGGGCACCTTGAACAAACCTGCTGCACTCTCTCTGCCCGCCCCAGACGTGCAGAAGTTCCCCCTGCGCATGAAGGACAACGACCTCCTTGTCAGCGAGCTTTACCGGGATCCGGCAGAGGACGGGGTCACCGCCCTCAGTGTCTACCTCACCCCCAAGACCAGTAAGCTGTGGCCCGGCTCTGCCACCACCCTGCCACCGCCCCACTTGTGTAGTGTGACCCAGTGGGATTTATAGGCATGGGGACAGATTGAACTCTCGTTTAGTTATTCAACAAACCTTTACTGAGCAACCCTTGTGTCATTTAAGCACTGTTCTAGGTGCTTCTTCATGGCCAGCCTCTCCACCAGGAGCAAAACGGGCCACTAGCAGTTAATCTTTATGTTTCTTTCCCATCTCTGTGGTTGGGGAGAACATGTTTACATGTTTGTAAAACAAAGAGGACGCATGTTTTGCAGTAGATAAAGCTGAGCTCTCTTTCTTGGGATAGTTTTTTTTTTTCCTTCTTTTTACTCAGGATAGTGATCTAGAACAGAACATTTTTATCAACCCCAAAAGAAACCCCCTACTCATTATCCATAACTCCCCAGCCCTCACTCCCTTCAGGCTGTGGAAACCAGTAATCTACTTTCTAGCTCTGTGGGTTTGCCTATTCTGGAGGTTTCACGTAAATGGGATCATATAGTACAAGGCCCTTTGTAGGTAGCGTTTTGTATTTAGTATTTAGTTTTCCACTTAGCATAATGGTTGTTTTCTTAGTGCTTTCTGGATCTAAAGATTTATCTTTATCTACCCTAAGTTACAAAGATTCTCCTCTGTGTTTCTTCTAGAAGATTTGTCATAGTTTTAGCTTTTATAGAGAGGTCTCTGTTCCATCTCAGTTGAACTGTTATGTATAGTATGAGGCAGGGGTTATAGCTCCTTTTTTTCTAGCAGAAATAAGTTAATAATACACCTAACTTCACGTCACATCGTCCCTTTTTTCTGTGTAAGCCCCTTTCCTATTTATTTATTCCTTTCCTGCCCATCCCCCCCACCACGTGCAACTATTCTGGCGTGTTCCACACCTACCTTTCCATCTGTGTGTGTCTCTGTGAAATGGGTGTTGTGGACGTGGTTTGGAATTTACATAAATA